ATTCGAAGCTTCAAAATCTATCGGAGAGAAGGTAAATAGCATGCGCGTTAATAATTTTCTAACTATTGAATTATGTTTCTATGCTAAAAGTATATCGAAAGAAAAAACTTACAAAGTCTAGATATACGAAAAACACGAATGCTCCAATGTATGCAGGTGTAAACGGGATCATCTCCATCTCCAACAAGTGAGTTAATTGCATATGCCATAGGCATTACTAAACTCACCACGTCTACTGAATTATAAATATTACGGATATAATAATATAGTCTATATATAAATTGCCTAACCTCCAAACTCAAAAAGACAGCACCTATCGCCAATAACATACATATAAACGATTTCACCGCAATCTTTAACTTTTGCATCTAGTTTCATCCCATCCTATCACAGTCTAGCGTAACTATGCTCATGAATGAGACTAGGTACAATAAATATCAAAAAATTAAAAAATAAGGTATCTCCGCGCAATTGTCATTAATTATAGCCTCCATACTACGTTTACCAAGTAGGTCAATACGACCATGAAATACTGCATCAGCAAAACGGGAACAGCACTCTTGCTTATTATAAAAAAGCAAGTTCCAAAAAAGAAAAATCCGGATATTCGGTAAAGCCTGGGAGCAAAACGACACACATGACGTGGATGGGTACCGACCTTTTTTATCGACAAAAAATTATACTGTTAGTACCAATAACAATAAATAAAGTTGTCAAAACCAGCAATGTGTGTTTGTCCATAGTACGATCGTTGTTTTATTCAGTTTACACTACCTTATTCGCCTCATCGATTTCATCTGGCTCTCTCGGCGCGCTTATCTCGTGCACCTCATCTGTCTCACGGGTAAATGCATATAAGTCTTCTCGGTTACTCCATACAATTTTTTCGTTTAACGGTAGATCGTTCATAGCTTTCATTAATTCCAAGGCAGAGTCTGGATATTTTGATATCAACCTCCTAAACACAGGAACAACAGTCTTCATCCAAAAATTCTGGCTCTTCTTTGCCTTTTCTTCGGTTCTGCAGCAGTAATATTTTAATAACAGACGAACAACCTTTACCTTTCCTTTTGATATAGCGCATGAGAGGGCAGACTCTTTGTTTTTGTCAGACTCTTGGTTTCGTCAGATTCTTTGTTTTCGTCAGGCTCTTTGTTTTCATCAGACTCTTGGTCTTCAGTTCTGCGGCAGTAACACTTTAATAGCAGACTAACTACTTTTGCTTTTCCTTTTAATATAGCGCACGAGAGAGCAGACTTTTTGTTTTCATCAGGTTCTTTGTTTTCGTCAGACTCTTTGTTTTCGTCAGACTCTTTGTTTTCGCCAGACTCTTTGTTTTCGCCAGACTCTTTGTTTTCGTAAAACAGCGGGATATAAACGTCCTTTTGTAATAGCTCTTCTAACATTGAATCTGCAAACGCGCTATCTAAATCAATCAGTAAGTGCACCATGGATCTATCGTCTACGTTCGCATTGTTTAAGGAGCTCAGAAAAGGGAGGATGGCTAAAGCGGAGTAGAACGAGACCTGATTCTTGCAATTACATTGGTCAAATTTGTATATCAACCAATGAAATTGTTTGAAAACTGAAAACGTTACTAGTACTAGTATCATTCCTCACATATACAATATAACCTGCTAATTAAATAAAACTATTACTATCAAAGAATTATTTCATCAATATATTTCATTGTTACAACACAAAATTATTTCCGTATTGCGCTATAGTTATTACAACATTTTTATGCAATCGTTATGCCGAAGAGGCGAAGCCTCTTAAATTATTTTCACTCTAGTTACAATACAAAATTATGTCAATTTTTGTGTTGACAATTAAACGCTACACAAAGGTTCAAAGAGATTTCGATTCCATCGAGAACGCTGATGCATGCATGAAAATGTTCTTAGGATATGATTTTCGTTCCCAAGAGATAAAGTTTAGCAAACCGTATGGTTCTTTTCCTTCCGTAGTTCATTTTTTTTTCTTCAGTATAATATATAGTGTAAGTATAAGTATAAATATATATAAAAACGACTCCGATTTTGTTAATCTTTTACTACGTATGGTATAGACGTTACTAAATTTAACATAGTAAACATCCAAAAAAAGGACGAAATTGCATAAAAATGTCTAGCGTAGATCTCTACGGCACACCCAATCTTATAATAATGTTAAACAAATGCTAAATTTTTTCTGACTTCTTTAATTTGAATAATAATAATATTGGAGACACAGGGGCAGCAGCTTTGGCAAAGGCTCTAGAATCAAATTCTTCTTTGACTTCTTTGGATTTGCATGAGATTAATATTGAAGACACAGGAGCAGCTTTGGTAAAGGCTCTAGAGTCAAATCTTTCTCTAACTTTATTAAATCTAGGCAGCAATCAGATTGGGTATACAGGAGTAGCAAGCTTTGGCAAAGGCTCTAGAATCAAATTCTTCTCTGACTTCTTTAAATCTACATAGTAATCAGATTGGAGATACAGGATCAGCAGCATTGGCAGAGGCTCTATCTAGAATCAAATTTGTCTCTGGATTTAAATGAGCAGTATATAACACTTGCAAATTATTTCAATTATTAATAAGGGCCCTCATATGAAAAAATTGCTATCGTGCCGTAATAGCTGGCCCCTCACCCCCCTTATCACATCAACAATCGACGTCATATATTACTTTATTATATGAAATATAGTTCGTGATTATGTAATAAATAGAGATAACGTGGACAATTGTTACGTGACGATTCATAGATTATTTTGCATTGTTTTTAAGGTGCAACCAAACATCTCGTGAATAAGAGCCCCTTATATGATGAAGGTGGGCCCTTATTCACAACAGTTTACAGTATTATCTATGTCATAATGTGTTTATGCTTTTATTACATCATTATGAGTTATTATGTAGTCATAATTATATATATATTTTATACCATATGTCATCATAGTTATTATCATCACTAACATCCTGATTCTCTGCTACTACTACATTTTCATAGCATAAACTGATATGATATCAGAGATACTCAAGAAGTACTCTTTCTTTAAAGCTTGTTGAAATAGCAGACTCTTGCCTGCACCATTCATCAAGACTATCTTGTAATATCATAAGCTGTCTCCAGGTTGTATACCATGATTTGCCTGATGGTTCAACATGAAAGGCTTCTTTAAAATACTTCCAGGA